CCGAAAAGACTTCAGTTAGTATACAAACTAATGAAAGCGCAAGCAATATTTAAGGACAACATGCTAATCATAGACGCAAGGCTACCAATATACATAAACCAGCATGCCACTCTCTTCGAAGCAATACCAATACCACTCGTACTGAAAGGAAGAAAAGTTATTCCGAAGACTAAAACGAAATTCCTTATCTTCAATACTGAGATAAACGCATACCACTCAATGACTGAAATGGAAGTAAGTCATTGCCGGCATGAAGACGAGATCACATACCTGTGCGAAGGAAGTTGGGCATGGGAAGATGCAGATGACGAAAGTTGTGAAATATCTCCAATAAAACCGAGCACCAAGCAGCCATGCAAGATGATGGAATACGAAGAAGACACGTTCGTCAAAAAACTCAATGGAAAAAACCGATGGCTGTTCAAAGTATTTGAGGAAAAATCAGCCCACATTGTATGCGGAAACTACGAGGAGATAGTACATCTACCAAGCCAGGGCATAATTGAGCTATATGCTGGATGCTCAGCCAGAATAGGTAAAATTAACATTATTACTCCGCAGGATCTAGTATCTACAAATACWGCRAGGTACTCKCCACTTTTCCTCAAAATAATCGACCAGAACGTCACATGGGATCCCACACCACTTCAACACATTGTCGTAAATAACTCAGTRGAGCTACAACGAGTTCAACAAAGCATAAAGGATCTGCACCGGCAAAAAGTACATATTGAGGATCTTGTCTTCCACACAATGAATGGACATATTTCGTTGGGACTAATTAGATAATTATAGTATCTTTACTTGTCTGGTATCTAATCAAGAAAAGAAACCAGAGACAGCAATTGTTAGCTATTGCCTTCTCTGCCCCCCCGCAGAATGTTCAGGAACATGCATAGAAATATGATAAGTATGGGAACATACGCGCTATGCACTCGACGACTGGCATAAAATAGATAACATATGTTTCAAGTGTGAGCTGTCAAACTGTCCATAAAATATGACCYTGACCCTTAGCGATAAGAATATGTAAGAGACGAGCGCTGAGCCTTACAACCTCAGCGATAGGATAAGAATAGCTAATAGACCAATACTGAGCCTTACACACTCAGCAATAGGCGCACTAGATTTAAGGGTTGAAAATATGCATGAGTCTGGGTATATATAAACCCAGGCTCAGAAGAATAAAATCAATACGAAACTAAACACCATCACAGTCAAGTGTATTCATTCA